GTATGTTCCCTGGTTTTAGCCATGGAGAAAACTCTTGGCTGGAGACTATTTTGGTTACATTTACACTTGCTCAGATTTTCCAGACAAAAAGTTAATGGCGCATCTCCCAAATGTCCCGGCCGCAACAACGCTTTATTGGTTCCGCTATCGGGACGGAACCAATAATGGCGAGCCGTTATTTTTTTAAATAAAAAAAAGTAAATTTTAACGTTTTATTTAGATTACAAAAATAAATCATAATAAAAATAATCCTATTTATGATGTTTTAAAAATTAAGACCTACGAAAGACTGATTTAAGACATTTTAATACCAATTAAGGCCTTAGTTTTATTTTGAAGAATTCAATGCCTTTTAAGGCTTTTTAAGGACCGGGGGGGGGGAACCCTGTTAGAAGAAGGAAATGTGTAAAAGATTTTTTTTCCCTGTACATTTATAACCATGAGGGGAAAACCTTAAACTCATATCGGCTGAAGTTTAAAGCTCAGTGTCTGTTAATGAGTTACATCCAGAACAAACACACCTTGAAGATTCCTCCTTTCTGCCAGGCGATCTTCTCTATGGTGTCTCCTAAAATCTGGGTGTGGTCGATGCCAAGAGAGGAGATCCCGCAGACCCAGGGCCTCCTGCCAACACAGCAACCAGAGTTAACGTCTGCCTGTGAATGAGGCCCATTGGTCCTGGAGCCTTCAGATGTGACAGAGAACCCCACCTGATGATGTTGGTGCAGTCGTACGCTCCTCCGATGCCGACTTCGATCACAGCCAGATCCACCTGAACGCAGACAGCAGCGCTTCAGATTCCAGCAAACTCAGAGAGCAACTTTATCAGGTTTTTAAGTGAAAGAAAACGACTCGTTTCTGAGTCGTAACTTTTTGTAAGCTCACCTTCTCCTGCAGGAAGATGTGGAAGGCCAAGATGGTGAGGAATCGGAAGTAGGCCGGCATCGTCCCTCCGTGGACCTCCTGAGGTCAGAGAGTCAGAGTGACTAAAGCAGAGCAGGACGGGGAGGATGGATTACAGGAGATATAGGACATAAAAAAAACAAAAAACAGTCCTATGTCTTTAACCAGGACTATGGCTGAGAAACAAGCCCCTACCATCACTCCTCCACTGCTGTGCTTTAGAATAATTAACAGATGTTTGTGGGAATATATGCTCTGTTCGAAAACCTAGGACGCGTCCTTAGAAGACCGGATTCGAAGGCCGATTACGTCATAGCGCGGCGCCGAGGTCTGGTCGGATTCCAAGAGTCCTCGTTATGCGACCTTAAAATGCGTCCTTCTTTTTGCCTGATTTGAAGGACGGGTCTGATGTATCCTCGCTATCCTTGGATATCCCAGGATTCATTGCGAGACCAAGCAAGTGTGATCAGAGGAAAGGTTACTTGGCGTTGAACAGTGCTCCATGAAGCCGGCTGCTCCGTGATCAGAGGAAAGGTTACTTGGCGTTGAACAGTGCT